AGTCTATTGTATTCTGTTTTTGTTATTGGATCTCTGTACCTTTTATATTCTCTCAGGAGTCGGCGTTTTCTTTTGATTTTTGCCACGATGTGTGCGGGCAGGGCCGGAGAATATAAGTTGTACGTGGTTAGGGGGACTGCTATTTCGATAGCCTCGTTTATGAGACTATCTACTTGAATTATAGCTAAGTCGATTTGTTCTTGTGTTTCTACGTTGCCTAACAAGGGGAGGTTGTTATTTATTATTTCTTTAAAAAGGTCCCAGTTGGCTCTACGATAATCTCGCCTTTTTATAGGTAATGGGATCACAGGGTCTGTCAGACTTGTGTTCACCAGTAGTGGTAAATGGTCTGACGTTATAGAGTCACCTATGAAACATTCATCATCGAACCTGTCTATTATGTTTTCAGTACATATTATATGGTCGACGTTGGACATTCCTAGGTGACTGAAAAAGGTTGGGTTGGAATTTTCGATTCTGATGATAGGGAGTTCTAATAATAAGTCCGTCAGGTGTATACCGTCCGGATTATTTGAAGTGTCTCCGAATTGTATGTGTCTAGAATTAAGGTCGCCTAGAAGGATGGCTTTATTGAGTGATGAAAAGTACTCAAAAAGCTCATCAGAGAGTGGCGTTCTCGGGTGTTTGTAGTACGAGATTATCGTTATGGTTTCGTTATTGTTTAGGTGTATATCAACCGCCAGGAAGTCAGTATCTGGGATGTTGGTATTGGGTGGGATAATATGAGGAGTACAAGGGATATTATTTTTAACTAGGATACCGTTACCTTTAGATACTAAATCCTTCGGTCGGTGGAAGGTATTATAATTAGTGAAAGAAGGAGTATATTTTAATCGGGTGTCAGTAAGTGAGAGAATTTGTATATTATATGTGTGGAGGAAATGTTTCAATAGGTTGATTTTTCTACTAACACCCTGGCAGTTAATAGTCCCTATTACACTATTATTCATAAAAATTTATTATTTTAAAAAACCGGAATAAATCTAAATGCAACATTATTTCCCTGTTGCAGCGGGCTAACTACATGTCCGAACAATGCCTGAACGACATTGTTCGAAATTTGCATAATATCACCCCGCTGAGCAGGGAATAAGTTCATCAAGACCATATTGTTGTAGTATATTAAGTACTTGAGGTCCTGAGACAAAGGATAGGGTGGGTTTTGTCTGTAAGCAAATACTGGCTGTATTTGCTCTGGTTTTTCTGGAATAGCTCGTCTAACCGGGCATCTCGGAGAGTGTGCGGCGTGTTCTCCACCGCAATTAGGGCATTTTGGATTGTCTTGTGTTGGACAGTTGTTTGCACTGTGTGCCTGTCCGCAATTAGGGCATCGTGGTGCTCTCGCTTGGCAGGAAGCGGCGAGATGTCCACTTTTACAGCATTTGCTGCAATATTTGGGGCGAATCGGGGCTACGGAAGCTGAGAAAGGCATCTCGCAGGATAAACGTTCTCCGTTGATACGGATTTTGTCTCTGAGAGCCTCTGCGTAATGGGATTCAGAGTCTGTGAAGACTCTGACTAGGGAAGTTGGCGAGTTGTTGGCTTTCGATATTATTCTCGCAACTTTTGTGAATGGGAAGTTTGAGATTGAGAGTTGTTCTTCAATCTCTTGATTAGATAGTTTAGTGTCCACTCCTCTTATGACTAAGTGGAAGTTAGCCTGAGTGGAAGGTTGGGGGGGTTTTTTTCGTGTTTCTATTGCGTTTGACAGAGGATGAAACCGTAAGGTCTCTGCCAGTGACGCTTCGAATTTTTTTCTGGAGTTCGGCAGTGTCTAGTGCCGAAAGATTGTTGAGGAAAGCCGTTTTTAGGTGGGGCTTCACTACGAACGAGTCGTAATTTCGAAGTAGCCCGTTCGAATGGAGGATTCTGAAGAGGATTGCCTGAGAATTCAGGTCTTCAGAAATATTTTCGATGCGGTAGGTGAAGATTTTCTTCACATTAGGGGTTGCGGTGGAGGATGTAGACGCATTGTTCGCCGGAGATGACGGTCTTGAGGGGCTATTTTGTTGGATGTTGGGTTTAGTAGTGGTTTTTGGTTTTTTTGTTGTTTTTTTCGGGATAGAGGAGGGGCCAGGAGACGGAGAGACGCTTCTGCTGCGTCTAATCGCTCCTGTGTTGCTTTGAGAGGGATTAGTTGAGGGAGTGTTGGGTCGGGATGTGGATTTTTGCAAGGGTTTGGGTGGTTGAATGACATTTTTGCCTTTTTTTTGGGATTTTGGTTTAGGTGGGCTGTGTTTATTGTTGAGTTTATTTATCTTCCGCTGCAATTGTGAGCAGAAGAACTCAAGTTGGGGGACATTGTCTAGTTCGTTGATAAGTAGGTTTATTTCGTCTGCAGTCGAATGATATTCAGTGACTGCTTCCGAAATACATGAGGATGGACGTATCGGTAGGGATTCAATCGAGGTAGAAGGAGATAGGGGGGGGAATTCTGTGATATTATTCATATCAGGAGCTGCCTGACGGCTGTGTGAGCGCAAAGTGCGCTCAGACGACATTTTGGAGCTTTCTACTTGAGAGACTCTGTTTTTTTTGGTTTACTGGCCGCTGCCAGTAAACTTCTGGGTGCCTCCCCAGGCCCTACGCGGTTGTTCACACTCTCTGTGCAATGAGTGGTTTCCTCTTGCGTTCTCACCTTACTGGATCAGTATCTGTTTCTGGTTACCCTTAAAAAGGGCCTAGCAGTGTCTCCCTGACGCTCCAAGTAAGTGTCCCGAGGGCTTACGCCCAGTTGCACAGTGTAGACTATCTACAATTGCCTTACTTTATTGTCAGAATGTAAAATGCTAACAAAAAAGCTCGGTTGAACTGTAAATTAATCTACACGTGGTAGACTTCGCGCGGAATTCTTCTGTGACGTCACTGATTTGGCGCCAAGGCTACCAGCTATTCGCGTAGGCCACGCCCACTAGCTGGTTTTACACTTGGCTTCTCCTCAGTAACGAAAATAGACGTCGTTTCCGCTTCGCAGCAGACTCAACTATGAGGGAAAAAACTTTATTGACCTGAAAATCGCCTATTTTTATACTTTCTGAAGTAGCGATTAGGGATTTCCAGGTCAGGGAGGGGCCAACGGGAAAAATAAGGGGCGGGGCGATGCGTCTCGAACGTGAACTAGTCGCGTCCGAGAACAGAGTTAGGTTGGCGAGGTGCTATGTTTTTTCGACTTTATTTTATGGAATGGAATCTTGGACCTTGAATGCGACATTAATGAAAAAACTAGAATCATTCGAGCTGTGAGTGTATAGAAGACTTCTAAAAATATCGTGGACAGAACACAGAAAGAAATAGAAATTTTAAATTCAATTAAAAGAAGAAAATTGGAATATCTCGGACATATTACGCGTGGAGAGAATACACCTTGGTCCAATTGATTTTGCAGGGAAAGATCCAAGGAAAGAGAAGCATAGGGAGGCGTAGAATGTCATGGCTGCGCAACCTGAGAGAGTGGTACGGATCTACATCAAATGAACTTTTCAGACCAGCCGTCTTAAAAGTCCAAATAGCCATGATGATTGCCGACCTCCGCCGCGGAGATGGCACTTGAAGAAGAAGAAGTTCTTCACTATATAAAATGAGCATGCTGGCATTAACGTCGATACACCAAGACTGTCTTCCAAAGGAAGCTAGAAAAGAAAGGGTATACCAGGAAGAACACAAAGAAAGAAAACCCCGTAGTAGAAATCACCTCGTTTCTTCTTCTTGTGCCCTGCTCGATTATCGTGTGTTGGCTATCAAATTGGCTGTACTAATTCTGTTGACGGCAGCTTGGTAAAGTATCTTGTTCGTTTCCTTCTTTCAAACTTGACCGAAAATATTTAGAAACCGAAGCTTGATGCAGTTCTGACATGTTGATCTATCTGAAACTTCTTTTCGCATGCAATATGTAATAGATTTTTTAATGTAAATAAGTACAGTTAGAACATATTTCTTTATAATCTTAAACTAAAGGCATCAATAAAAGAAATTCCATTTAAGTAACTGCACGATTATTGTATGGCAGTCACTGATATTTCAGCAAAAGTTAAAATATTTATTTTATAATAAAATATACATAACTAGGTTTTGGTATTATATTACGATTTAATAGTTTATTAGTAAAGTATTAAATATTTAGTACTTACCATTTTACCACAAACTGAACAGTAAATTTTGTCCATTTATTTTTTGCAGGGTTTAATCCAAGTAGCGACACTAGTTATTTTCGGCATTTTAAAATCAAAATATTAACAAGTTCGACTGACGATGATTAAGATTTCACTTTCACTTTTAAGAACAAAATGATTTGCAAAAGGACAATATTCTATTGACACCCCACGCAATAAACTTTCGAAGCACCCCTTTATTACGGAATTATAATCGGTTACCTGCTAGAACAATACCAAGAATGTTAGATAGTATCTATAGGTACTATCGGTACAGATAAATATTATTTAACATCCGAAATTCGAAGTAAATTACTTGATTACTAATAAATTACTAATGAATTTTATGCAATTTTATTGAAAGAATATGCAACATCCCCAAATATTCGCATAATACTACCTCTCATGAACAGTTTGTATACTTGACTGAATAATAAATATATAAACAATATAGGTCTATAATACTTAAGGTCACATTTGTCCCTTTTTTTGTATAAGAGTAAGATATGTAAGACTAGACTCTCGTTCCAGTCTTTAGCGATTTTGCTATTATTTAGACATCTATTAAATAGATCTGTTAGTATAGGGATCGTTACTGTGTTGCTTCTTTTCAAAGGCTCGGCAATTATACTGTCGTGACCTGGAGCTTAATTATTTGTTAGCTCTCGTACATTTCTGTCTATTTCGAATTCCTTTATATTTTGGTAGTACCTCTGATCCCAAATTTTTTATTTTTCTTTTAACGTTCCCTAAACGAAAAAACGAAAAAAATTAGTTGTTTATATTCTAGGTACTGATAAATCACTCGTTTACATATAACACTTGTTTCAGTCTAAAGACCAATCAGAACGATTGTATCCTAACTGTGATTGCACAGTTTGGATGAGATCATGCGAAGAAGAAATTACAAACCCAATAACAGGAAAAGTTACAGGTAAGTTTTATTTATAGTGTTTTCGCAATCACCACGGGGTAATAATATTCCGTGAGCTGCCGACGTAGCCAGTTGCTAAAATGACTTCAATCGAGAAGCATTTATTAACCAATTTATTGGACTCGGAAGATCAAGACGTTAAGTTCCAGACAACGTTTACAATGAATCTTTTCGTCTCAATCGAAGCCAGGCCTCGGAAGTCCATGGTATAATCTAAGGTGATATAACACGCAAGCCACGACCCACGAAAACTGTACGCCGATGACAAATCTTTTCACGTGTGACCGGCGTGTGCATGAGCTAGTAGAGTAGTGACTCGGCTAAGTGACACAAAAATGTATCTTAAAACTTATATCTTAAATCTTATCTTTTATCTTATCTCTTACTTAAATCTTAAAACTTCAAAATAATTATAGATGACCCAAGGGTTCACCTGATCGCATCTAACATGTTCAGTAGTCCTAGGTTTTTTTATTAACAGATGCTGCCTAGTTTTGAATGATCTAAACCAGTCAGAGCCTGGTCTCTGGTCTTTAAATCTACTCTTGATATTATTGTGTCTTATACACAATTGTACTAATTTTTATGCAATCTCCAATTTATTTTTCCTCAAGAGACGACAAATATGACTGAACTCCTCCGACACCGTTACCTTTCTTGAACAGTCCAATTCAACGAGTTCCTTTGACTCGATGCTCCAGTGTAGGTCGTGGAATATTGTAAAATAATGATGCACCCCATGTCGTCTTGATGCCATGTCTAATATTCCTAATTGCCCTATCAAGGTCTTTCGTGGTATATGAGGAGCCAGCAGAGTTTTTCTTATGTACGATCGTACCATTTCCTGAAACAAAAACAATCTGATATAACCTAGGCTTTGAAAAAGTAAAGGATGGAAAACATTGTTAGGTCCTGAGGGGTAATTGGACCAGGCCCTGGCCGAGTTACTCCCGATATGGGTACCAGTTACCTCGAAAGGGCAAAAGCTCTCGAGGTAACTGGACCACCCATTTTAACCTCAAAACTAATAAAATAAGTACCTTGATAATCAAAACAATAATGTTAATCACAAGTACCCCACGTTATGTCATAAAAAATAACTACGAATTTACATTGGACTTCTCACAGCAACCAAAAGTACTATGAAGGTTAGAATTTAGAATTATTGTTTTGGAGAGAAGGCACATTCTTGCAGTACAGCCAACAGCAAAAAATTTACATGTTAAGAATGAAAACGGTATGGTCCAGACACCTCCTGGATCCAGTTGCCTCCCAAACTCCTATATTAAAAGGGTTAAAGACTTCACTCATCTATGACGACAAGGACATTCGAATTGTGGCAAACCTATACTGAGGTCAAACAGCAAGAGCAAAAATTAGCAACGAACGAAAGCGTGCAGATCAAAAGAGGTATCCGTCAGGGGTGTACATTATCCCCACTCCTATTCAATATGTATTCCGAGGAAATATTTAACAAATGTATGAAAAATGCAAATGAGGGCATAAAAATAAACGGCGAGTTAACGAACAATATAAGATATGCCGACGACACGGTGATCCTTGCCAGTACCATAGACGAATTACAACAAGTAATGAAAAGACTTTATTCAGTTAGTGAGAAATACGGCCTGAGCCTCAACTTCAAGAAGACAAAGTGGATTCTGATAAGCAAAAAGCAACAACCTGCTCGACAATTACGGATAAGTAACATACTAATTGACCATGTAGAATCTTATGTGTACCTTGGCACCAACGTAAATGCAAAATGGGAACAGGCCATAGAAATTCAGGCGGGAATAGAACGAGATAGAGCAGCATTTAGCAATATGAAAAAGCTCCTCATAAGCAAGGATTTGTCTCTTCCTCTAAAACTACGTCTAGTTAAACGCTACATTTTTCCGATCTTGCTGTATGGTGTGGAGGCCTGGACGCTGACGGAGACGCTAACGAGAAAACTAGAAGCATTCGAAATGTGGGTGTACCGACGCATTCTTCGTATATCCTGGACCGAACATGTCGCCAACATAGAGGTACTCCAAATAATCGGAAAGGAGAAAGAAATCGTGAATACAATTAAACAAAGAAAGCTTGAATATCTAGGCCACATATTGAGACACGATAAGTACCGTCTGCTACAATTTATTGTCCAGGTCGAACTATTCATAAGCGCCGCAAACAAGATCAAAATTGCCATGTTAATAGCCAACGTTCGCAACGCACAGGGCACTTGAAGAAGAAGAAGAAGATCTATGACACTAGGGGTTGCTCTTCCGATATTGCACATAGCGAATATGCATGTTGCTTTTATATTTTTTGATCTTGGCAAGTAATGAAGTATTACTTGCCACTGAATACACTGAATCAAAGACCATCTACTTGGTGTAAATGGTCTTTGCACTGAATTGTGAAGGCATAACATGTGGGTTTTCTAAGCGACTATTATCTTGAAAGTATCTGCATGCCGACTCGTATAAAATTACTAAAATTAGTATGGTCAAAGCGTAAATTTGTACTTTACGCATGCATAACTTAAAGCTGTTTAGAAATCCCATCGATATAATATAATAAGGATGCAACCTATGAATAAATACGTGCGTTCAAAGTAGCTAATAAGAATGGCCGATCTTGTTTCCGGAATGTCAGTGGTGTACGAAAAAAATTCTTTTGACAATAATTATTTATTTTCATTGTTATTTACATTGGAATAAAAGATATAACGACGTGTAACATTGTAAATTAAAAAAAAAACATCTTTATCAACGTCTGTTTTGCCTTGCAATCCTTAGAAGGTACAGATTAAAGCAACAATCTGAATTTGGTTTCGAAAATTAGTTTACGGATTTTAATATCAGATGTCGCTATTTGCGTCCATTCGAAGCCATGTTAGAGTTGCTTCCTAAGACAGAAGAGATTTATATTCACATTCACGTTCAGAGCGACAATGAATTGCCGTTCTGACGAGGCCTATCAGGCCGAAATACGTATAAGCGGCTACATTGACGCATTATACGTGAAATTAAATCTTAACTATGTTCGTTTTTAAAAAAATGTTATTTTTATAACATAAAAGCATATAAAACATATATATTTTACAAGTAAGTAGTTGCGCATCTGACGCCACTAATGTGACTGAATGCAAAATATTAAAAATTTAACGAATTTATTAATTTACCAAAAAGAATACATTAAATTATTGACTTTTATTGACCACAGAATTTTACCAAAAGTATAACCCGATAAGCGAGAGCTGGCGGGTTGCGTGTAAAACAAATTGAAAAGTGGAAGGGATTGCTCATTTCTATTGCAGTCGGCTAGGAGTTCACATCGTGTATAACCGTTTAAGTACCTATACTATATACCTATAATCGCGATTAAGTACCTCTCCTATCTCTCTTAGAATAATTCCTTTTCTATTTTCGCGCAGCTCACCCGCCAGCTCTCGCTTGTCGGATTATACAGAGTCTTAAAAGGCATTAAAATAATAGTCCGCTATTGTTAATGAGGGTCAGTTATTATATATATTTCCTCAATAGCGGTGGAAACAAGCAAAACTCTTAAATTCACAATTTTAGCGGCAGATTGTATTTTGTTTCGGCCTCCTGTGCAATAAATTTGCTTAAAACTTTGAGACATTACTCCGTCTCGATTGCGAAAACATTATAAATCATATTACTCTCAAGTAGTGTATTAAATTTTAAATATTATGCCAAGGTATTATTCCCAATTGGTTAAACGGATCTCTTATAAGGAATGGACCAGGTTCCTTAAAAGTTGGAAATGAAGAGTTTACTCATCTTTTCGATAGTTCAGCTCTACTTCATAGGTAAGAACAAATTATATTTTTTGTTTGGGTCGTTTAAGTTAAACTTTAATTTAATTCTTGTGTATTTATTTTTTTTTCCTTCTGAATATCATGTTTTCTAAACATCAATTCTCGATGTTTAGAAAACGTACAGTTGAGGTAAGTGTGGCAACTGCGCTTTCTCGAGTCTATGCCCGATCCAACGACACGATCGGCCACAACGAGATGGCCTATACCAGGGGTCTCCAAACTTTCCAGCCTTAGGGCCATACTGATTACTCCAGTAAGTTCCGAGGGCCAAGATGGCAACACTGTATTTTATATATTTTTTTTATATTTTATTATTATTTATATATTTTATATATTTCTGTATTTTATGTGTAATAGAATTTTGCTGAAGTGTGGATCATTTTTTGTAAAATAACGAATAATTTAATTTTTTGTAAGTGTGGTAAGCTGTCAACATTATTAAGTATGTCAAATATTCACCTATTTTTGATATATTTTAATTTAATACAAGGTAGACATAAACAAACAAAATATTTCCACCAGTGGAAATCTCCAATCTCTCCCGAGATTGTCCACTAATAACATAATTATTCTTTCTACTATTTTTCAACGCCATCGTTAGAAATTGTCACAAACACACTTAACTATCCGAAATAATAAGAAGTCTGAAAAATAATAGCCGCAAATCACTTAAGTGTTACGCACCTGATAACTGGGACGAGACTAAAGACCCCACCTAAGTGGGACGAGTGCGAGGACGAAGCGATGACAATAGTGACGTAACTACAAGTCAGTTCCTATGAAACTGTTGTGAAATAAAATAGGGCGTACCTCCTTAAAACAAGTTTGTGCGTGTAACAGTATTTTGATTTGATTTAAATTGTTGCTTTTGTGTGTGATTTAGTAGAATGGAAAAGAAGCGAAAAATTGATAGTGAATGCAGAAAATTCAAAGATCAGTGGAACATTCAGTATTTCGTAATTGAGTCCAGTAACAAGGCGCTATGTTTGATTTGCAATGAAAGCATAGCCGTTCTTAAAGAATATAACATGAAACGTCATTATGAAACAAAACATTCTCAAAATATACAGGAATTGTGCGGACAGAAAAATTCGAAGCTTTGAAGTGCGGATTGAAATCGCAGCAATCTTTATTTACAAAAGTCAAAACTGAACAAGAGGCGGCAACTCGTGCCAGCTTTCGTGTGGCTCTTGAAATTGCAAAACGTGGAAAACCATTCACCGATGGAGAAATGATCAAGGAATGCATAATTGCAGTAGTCGAAGAAATGTGCCCTGAAAAGGTAAATTTATTAAAAACTGTCAGTATGTCAGCAAACACTGTGGCTCGAAGGGTAGAAAACATCGCTGAAAATATATCCTCTCCACTGTTCGACAAAAATGGACATGTTGAGTGGTTTTCTTTGGCCTTGGATGAGTCAACGGATGTGTCAGATACTGCTCAGGTGTTGATTTATATTAGAGGAGTAGATAAAAGCTATGAAGTGCACGAAGAACTTCTTGATATGTATAGTATTCATGGCACAACTACTGGTACCGATATTTTTAAAGGAGTTGAAATGGCCATTAATAAAAAGAACCTTCGATGGAAAAACTTGAAATGTATTACAACTGATGGAGGCAAAAACATGAGTGGGAAAGATAAAGGAGTGGTCGCTTTTGTGTCAAAGGCTGTAGAAAATGACGGCGGCTCAAAACCATTAGTCTTACATTGTATCATTCATCAACAGTCTTTGTGCGGAAAATGTTTGGATATGTCTGACGTTCTGAAACCAGTCATATCAACTGTTAATTTCATCAGATCTTTTGGGTTGAATCACCGACAATTCCGACAATTTATTGCAGAGATTGGAGAAACAGACTTACCTTATCATACTGCCGTACGCTGGCTTAGTTGTGGGAAAGTCCTTCAGCGCTTTTTTGAACTTCGAGCAGTGATCGAAATTTTTTTGAATGAAAAGCACCGCCCTCTTACTGAATTACAAAACAACGCATGGCTATGGAAGTTAGCATTCTATGTTGATTTGACAAAACATGTGAACGAACTGAATTTAAGATTGCAAGGAGAAAACCAGCATCTTCCTGATTTATACACTAATATCAAGTCATTTCGGATGAAATTGATACTGTTTCAATCACAACTACGAAGTAAATGTTTTTCACATTTTAAAACATGTGAAATATTCAGCCACACTACTGAGACTGAGTTTCCTATCGATTTTGCAATCGAAACTTTGAGTGCTTTGAAGATAAATTTTGATACTCGTTTCTCGGACTTTGATGCCATTGCGAATGAAATTAAGATTTTTCAGAATCCTTTTGATGCTGACATTGAAACCCTAGCCCCGGAACTTCAAATGGAAATGATTGATCTTCAGTGCAGTGATATAATTAAGAACAAATATGAAAACTCATCTTTGTTGGAATTTTATAAGAGTCTTTCACTGACACAATTTGATAATTTGCATAAATTTGCTCGTGGGCTGTTTTCCGTTTTTGGTAATACTTATTTGTGTGAGAAAACCTTCTCCAAAATGAAGTACACAAAAAATGTATACAGATCTAAATTAACTGACGAGCATCTTAAATCTCTTTTAATAATTGGTACAAGTAAAATAAGTCCACAACTACAAACTATTGTCGGTGGAAAATCTCAATTACATACATCTCATTAGCATTTCATATGTCATGTTTGTTATAAGGTATGTGTTGTTCATTACTTACAATGTATAAAATGTTAAGGTCAATTCAGACACATCAGTCACGTCTCGTCACAGTGATTGCGCCGAACCGAACAATCCGTCATACAAAATATTCTTTAATACAAATATGTTGCCGGCATTCACACTCATCAGTTGACAAACAGTTTCCCAGCTGTCAGATAGTTGATAGTTCTGTGACCAAACAGGACCGGTTCGGCGCCGAGACTATGACGGGACTGATGTGTCTGAATTGACCTTTAGTTGGATTCATTTCAATAATTTGTTAGTTATTATATGCTGAAGTTAAATTTACTGCATAAATTATACATGTCTTTACTCATTACCATTCTGTGTTTCTTTATCCAACTTATCACAAACATTTTATTTGCTATAAAAAATATTTGTTCTCTAAAAGGAGTTTTCAAGTATGTCTCCGCGGGCTGGACAAAATCTGTCTGCGGGCCGGATGTGGCCCTCGGGCCGTAGTTTGGAGACCCCTGGCCTATACTATAATTACTCTGACAAGAAATTTAAAATGTGACCAATACATGTAATACGATATTCGAATTGTGCAAGGTCATTGATTATAAACCACTAGCTAGTGGTTTATAATCAATGGCAAGGTTGAAATCAAATACGCTGTTTGCTAATAAGAAAATCAAAATAATATCGATTCACAACATTTGATAGCTCTCCGTACATTTTAATGGGTTACCATTTTATTTATTTATATTTATAATTTATTTTAGTCGTAAATACGTCTTTTATGTATTTTTAAAAGATTAAAATTTATATTCTGTGATTTAAAAGTATCGGTATCATACCTAGTATGTAAATTCATTCTTAACCGTCTTGGATAAAAAAAATATATTACAACAATAAAAATATTTGTATTAAACATTAAAATTTTTACTTACAGCTTGGTTTATAAATTATTAGAATCCTGAGAATTTAGGTTTTTTGGGGTAGCGGGTAGACACTTTTCTGCGATCCTGGTGAAAAATAGGTCTACTTTAGGGAAGCGTACCTGTCCACGTGAGCCATGTTTTGCTCTCAATTCCTTATTGAGAGAAATCATGTCTCATTCCTTTATCCTTCCAAAATCTAGTTTCCTAGTTCCTATCCCTCCCTGGTGAAGGGCAGCAGCGATCATCAGTACCTGTTCAAGGCGTAGAGGAAATGATCCTAGACCGGCTTGAAACTGGATTACTACAAGCATGACTGGAGCAGTTTAAATGGTTGTGGTACTGCGATGGGGAAGGCATTATTTTTTCCACAAATCTAAATGGCAGACGAGAAAAAGAAAATGACCCTCAGTCCGGGGCACCCCTTAAATGGGGAGAGGGTGCGAAGAATCCCCCCGTCAACTACCCAAGAAAGTGGACAGAGAATGCAAATATACGACCGAATAGTACGTATTGCTACCTGGAACGTACGCAGCTTATTTATGTCCGGGAAACTGGCAAACACTAATGAAAACTGAAAATAGACAACTTGGGGATGAGTGAAGTAAGATGGCCTGGTTCAAGAGTACAAAAACAAAACATGGATACATATATTATTCAAGTGAAACCGACCCAGAACATCAATATGGAACTGCTAAATTAGTGTCGACAATCAGTCACAGACTTCATCCCTCTAAATGATAGAGTAGCAATGTTGAAATTACAAACAACTCACAGAAACTAAATATTATTCAGGTCTATGCTCCAACAAGTGACAAGTCAGACGAAGAAATTGAAAAATTTTATAACAACATAGATGAAATAATAAGCCTGATAAAAAGAGGTGACCGATGATCATGGGTGACTTTAACGTTAAAATTGATCTTGGTGCCGAAGGAGACCATATAGGAGCATACGGTCTAGGTACCAGGAATAATAGAGGAGATAGATATAGATAGATAACATGAATTATTTTTTAATGATATAATTAAATACTAAAAAAATAATGAAATAACCACGCCTCTGGAATTGTATGATTTTCCAACATGTGACCTTGACGACAGCAGTGGGCTTAAGAAAGCACAGTTGCCACAATTACCTGAATGTATATTCTTTACCTTTTTTTAAATGTTGTCGATACCAGATGATTTTTTTTTTCAGATTTGGAATAAAAAACGGCAACGTAGAATACTCATGCCGTTTCGTACAATCAGAAGTATTTAAAAAGAATTGGGCAGCCAATAGAATAGTAACATGTGCATTTGGTACTAAAATTGTTGAGGATCCGTGTCACTCAATTTTCAAAAGGTAAAATACATTTCTAATAACAGAATACACCACCCAATAAGAAGCGAAACGAAAGGCTTTTTCGTAATCAAAATTTCTGTAACAATCCGCCATGTTCGAAATAGTTTATTTGTCAACCTATAAAAATTAAAGTTTGTTTACGTATTGAGAAGTGTTGTTCCGTATGTGTTGTTTAATAGTAAAAAAGAATAAAACTGTTATACGTATTTTTGTATATACATATACATATTTTAATACAATAAAAAAGGATAATGATATAATTAAGTATAATAGTAAAAAACCATAATACTCAGAAGAAAACATTAGTTTTAATGATTACTTCGTTTCTCAGTGTAACTATAATTTTACTACAGTTTTGAACGACTTCCTCATTACTTTTGTTAGTGTACTAAGTAGTTTAATTGTCACTGTCAAAGGTACCGATACACAATAATAAATAATCAAATGCCCACTCTGCAAAGACCATCTACTCCATCTACTTGGTGTAAATGGTCTTTGCCACTCTGCTTACAAAAAAGGTACGCGCATCTCATTCGCGCAGACTGAATCAGCCATGTTTTAAACGGAACCAGTGTTGTTCAGTGACATTTTATCTGGTGTGCATAGAAAAATTAACCCCATTTTATTTTTTTACGAAGAATAGATTAAATTATTTCAAATGTACTAAATTATTAATTTCTAAAAATTTAAATTACAGTTCTGTCGTAGCTTGGCACAAATTTCTCAATTCGAGTCTATGTTTCCGTCTAAAACATGGCGTGCTGACAAACTTCAAAGGTGGTATCTGAGAGTGGGCATTCTGATTGTTTATTATTCTGTGGTACCGACAAAGCATTCGCTTCTTGTTGGGTGATGTATTCTGTGTTCTCGTACTTAATATTTGATAGATGAATTTTTTTTGTGAAATTTAAATAAATCAGATTTAATACTACCACAGCTCAGCATAAAAATAAAAACCCTTGGGTTTCAGAATAGCAGCTATTTTCCAAGATTCATCAGATAACTCTATGATCTCAGTATATCCTTTCGGAGATGAGCTGTATGCTTTTGGAGAAACTCCTAAAATACATAAAATTAATTCTGATACACTAGAAACCGAAGATAAAGTTGCCATTAGTGATTATGTATCGATAGTTCATCACACTTCCCATCCTCATATTTTAAATGATGGTAAGTAGATACCTGTAATGTCTAGATTCTCTTTTGTTTTTCTTAAAGTTGATTATTAGAATATATTATTCGCACCACCGAACTGCTCGCAATTTTTAAAATTCCGATGTTGTTGAGCCCGACAAGGTTTAGTGAAACTGATTAAAAATGAGGCCTGCAAAGTTGGTAATACTTTGATTCTAAATTTTCATTGCCTTATTCATCAAAATGTATGTTCAAAGTCACTTAAAATGGATCATGTCATGAAGGTAGTCATCAAAACAATGAACTTTATTAAGTCGAAAGGGTTGAATTACCGTTAGTTCCAAGAGTTTCACAAGTCTTGGATTTACAGTATAATGACGTTACATTTTATGCAGAAGTGAGATGACTGAGCCGTGCCAAAATGTTGGAGAGTGTTTGAAGGGAGAAATAAAAACATTCTTTGCAAGCAAGGATTTAAAGACAATTTCTGGTCGATATAGTTAGCCATATTGATGTGGTTAATACTGGCCTAAAGGAAAAAATCTACTAATTAATAACGTCTATGATTTTATTTTTTGACTACAAAAGACTGTTTGTAGCGGTTTCCACTAGCTCTAAACCGTGACTAACCGATGATGGTTTGTAGATGATTTCGCGATTTGGAAATACCCAGAGAAATAAGAAAGACTCAATCTGCAAATCGGACATCTGATGGTAAAATGTTATATCCACTCTATTCTTATTTATGGTATTGAAGCCTGGACTGTTATTGTTGACTTAGAGAAGTTGATGAGAAAACTGGAAGCTTTTGCGATGTGGCTTTTTAGGAGAATTTTGAAAATACCATGGACCGATCATATTACGAACGAAATGGTGTTGCACAGAATGGAAAGAGACAGAGAACTTTTGACCACCAATGAAAGGCGAAAGAAAGCATATTTGGAGCACATGAAATGATAAGTACGAGTAGTTGCAGCTATTTATGAAGGGTAAAATCAAAGGAAAAAGGGGTCCTGGTAGACGACAAATATCCTGGCTTCACGACTCGTCCGGGTTAAATACACAGACACTCTTTAGAAAAGCAGAAGGTAGAGACGAATCTGCAATGGTTATAGCCAACCTCCATTAGTGGAACGGCACTAGAAGAAGATTTTTTATTTATTATCCCGGTTGTTTATAGCGTTCTCCGCCTTCCGGTTCCTAGTTTCCAGCTACGTCGGTCATTCCATTCGCCAGGGTGAAGGATCCTTTCCGACATTGCCTTCTGAATGCCGCCCAGCTAGGATTGTTTTGGCCTTTCTCTCTTCCTTCTTTCCCTTGGCGTCCATTTTAAAATTTGATTTGGCAGCCCGTCGTCGTCCATTCTTTTCATATGACCATACCAGATCGGTTGTATATATATGCCGGTTTAGAACGTCCTTCTCCGTTGTCTGACACTTAACTTCCATCCTCTTCTATCGTAGCAATCTTCCGTTGATAGATTCCGTTCGCTCATTGACTTTTTTATGTTTTGCTGCCACTCTAGTTTGGGTCTTCCTCTGTTTCTATTCCCTATTGGGATCCAGTTCAGTATTTTTTTGGGCCATCTAGTATTTTGCATTCGCTCTACGTGTCCGTACCAGGTAAGTTGTTTCTTTTCGATATACTGAATTATCGTGTTTTACAACCAGATCAGTTGTCTCCTTTGAATTTCGTCAATTATGGTTGACTTGACTCCCATTATATTTCTGATATGGTCATTTTGTATTCTATCAAGCCTTGATTTTCTAGCTGATCTTCTCCAGAATTCCATTTCCAATGCAAGTAGGCGTCGCTCAAGGGATTTAGTAAGTTGCCATGTTTCGCATCCATAGAGCACTATACTTTTAAAGATGGAGTTAAAGAGGATATGCTTTCTTTGATTTGATAGTTCTTTTGACCATAGTGTCGGGTTTAGGCATCCTATCACCCTTTTTCCTTTCACGATTCTTTGCTCTATCTCTTTTTCGGTGCGCCCACTCTTGTTGATTGTTGCCTCCGCCTGCATGACGGCTGGGTGAATTGAGTAGTTTAGCTGTTATGTTGCCGGTCCCAAGCTAGGATAAATGAGGATGGGGGAGGAGTAACAACCTCGTAAAAAACCAGGGTTCAACTGGCCCGGATGATAGTACCCTGTAAGGGCTCCTGCCGAGGGTTACAGGCGAAGGTCAACGGTGGACGGAGCAAACGAGATTGACTCGGAGTGCACGAGTGAAATCCAATGGTCCCGAAAGCAGAAGAACCGAGTTAAGGGAAGACTAGTCTCTACAGTTCTGAAAGACAACTAGTCTAGAGGAAGAAAGCCTTGATTAAAAATTACCCGGTCCTCCTGGAGGGGGTTAAGTCATGGGGCCAGCACCTCCATGCTAGTAGAAATCCTATAAATGCTAATAATCCTAGAATAAGATAATAATTTTTATTAAACTAAATCAATATCGATATTTTCTTATTTTCTGTTATACTTTTTACTTATTACATCTACGTTTTTTATCTCCAGGTACCATTTACAATTTGGGTTTGTCGGTGCGACCTACAGGACTTTACCACAGTATTATTGAATTTGGAAAGCATGAAAATGGTAAATATGTACTTACTTATAATTATTGTGTCTCTTGCACTGATCAAATATTGTAGGATCCAGTAAACAAATGTTTGAAGAAGCTCAAATAGTAGCATCAATATCTGCAAGATGGCAACTGAATCCATCTTACATGCATACTTTTGGTAAGATAAATTTTTATCTTTAGTTTACTTGTAAGATCTTAGTTAAACCTATTAGTATTTTAGTTAATAGATTAAAAGATTATTTTTATTGGCAATAAGCCACAATTTAAGTTTAAAATAAGTTTATTTTTGATGTTTCGAGTTCCACTTCGGAAATCGTTCACCATATTTAAATAAAATCAAATGGACCCCTTATCTCCATAGACATATCGCTTCTCCGGAGCAACATTGACGCAAGTACACATTACTACGCAAGTAAACAAGTGAAAGTTTAAGTGAATATTTTTGAAACAAAAATAATTTTTTGTTAATGGTAAATTTAGTCTACTTTTAAATGAACTCTTAGTGTTTTGATAATACAATCCTCTCTCTCTATAACGATATGCAAGGGACCGCGAATTTTCATCGTTATAAGGAGAGATCGTTATACAGAAAGAGACAAAAATCGTTACTGTAACATTAATAATACTGTACTAAATAACTTACTGCAATTTAATAATTGATTAAAACGATTATAAATGATTGAAATGAGGTTGAATGCTCGAATAAATGAACTTTGAAAAATAAGGCTATTATCGAGCACAAGTTAATAAAATCTAGCCCAAGTACTTTCGCTTAAAATAGCATCTTCAGGTGCATTTCGTCAAATGTAAACTATCCGGCAAGCGTAGAATGTTGAAACATTAATAATGACATAAAATTGTACAAAACACTACACTAAAACGAGAACAAACAGTTTAAAATTACTTAAAAGTGTCCTGTGGTCTGTGAACTGTGTTTGTCATTTGTCATCTTAGTTTTAGTTAATGTCATATGTAATTGTCATGTTATTCATTCAAACAAAACAATGCTAATTTCTTGTATATTAAAACCTAGTTTATAAAGGTTTTGCATTTCATTACAATTTAATATACAAGAAATATCAAATATGGATAAGCTACTACGACCAGACAGATTCGATGCTGATCCTAACTCTCCTAGATCGTCTCAAGAATGGATGCATTGGAAAGCTACCTTTGAAAACTTTATTTCCTCTGTGATTGATGTTTCAGAGGAGGAGAAATTCAAACTACTGGTAAATTACGTGAGCAACAATATCTATGAACTCATCTCTGATTGTAGAAAGTATTCTGAAGCCAAAAGTATTCTTGAAGCAGCTTTTGTTAAACCCAAAAATGAAATTTTTGCCAGACATATCCTAATGACAAAAAAACAACAAACTGGTGAAAATATAGGTCAATACGTTCAACATCTTAAAGTGCTTTCCAAAGACTGTAATTTTCTAGCCGTTTCTGCAGACCAAAATAGAGAAGATTATATAAGAGACTCTTTTATTAATGGCATTCTTTCTAATGACATAAGACAACGTTTACTAGAAAACAACACTATTACTCTGCAAGATGCCATAGTAAAAGCCCAGTCTCTGGAGTCAGCTTCAAAACACTCTGAGGCTTATACAACTCCTGTACAAATTATTAATGCAATTTCTTCTGAAACCAGAGAGCACACTAATTATACTTCTGCTGCTGTGAAAAGTTGGAAATGTTACTTTTGTGGATCAACTGAAAGGCATCCTCGTAGCCTATGCCCTGCTAGAGACAAAGTTTGTAAGAAATGCTCGAAAGTTGGACATTTTTCCAAGGTATGTAGGCTTCAGATGCCCAATTCAGTATCAGCTGCTGTTTTAGCTACTACTACATCTAGTTCGAATGTTAGAAATCTTGCTGCTGCCCCTCAATGCTTATCTAAAAGTGTTACTGAGATAAAGGTGAATGGAAATACAGCTGAAAGTTTAATAGACACAGGTAGTTCTGAGTCATATATCAGTAAGAATTATGCATTGTCTATAAACGTGAAAACATTTAGAAGTCATGCAAGCATAATAATGGCTTCAACAGCACTCAGAACGACTATCTCAGGACACTGCTTTGTTAATTTAGAAATAAACGAACATTCATATAAAAATGTCAAATTATCAATAATTCAAGATTTATGTGCTGATGTAGTTATAGGTCATGACTTGCTTAAACAACATTCTTCTCTAGAAATCACTTTTGCTGGCTCAAAAATGCCTTTAGTTATTGATCATATAGATAACATTTGTAGTTTGGCATACTTAAATATAGAGCCACCCAAATTATTCTCCAATCTATCAAATGATTGCAAACCGAGGGCAACTAAATCAAGAAAATTTTCAACTGAAGATAGAAAATTCATATCTGACGAGATACAGTATCTGCTATCGAATGGAATCATAGAAGAAAGCAACTCTCCTTGGCGTGCACAAGTACTTATTACAAAAAGTGAAACACACAAAAAGCGAATGGTGGTAGATTATTCACAAACAATTAATAAATTTACTTACTTAGATGCCTATCCTCTCCCAGATGTTGAAGATATTGTTAGAAAAGTAGCAAGATATTCTGTCTTCAGTACTATTGATCTTAAAAATGCATACCATCAAATTCCAATTAAAAATGAAGAGAAAATATACACTGCTTTTGAAGCCAACGGCCAACTATACCAATTTTGCCGGATTCCTTTTGGGGTAACCAACGGAGTGGCTTGTTTTCAAAGGGTTATCGATGGTATTATTAAATCCGAACATTTAAAAGGTGTGTATGCATATCTTGATGACATTACGGTTTGTGGATTAAATCAACAACAACATAATGAAAATCTTAATAAATTTATGGAAGTAGCGAAGAAATACAATCTAACAATAAATCAAAATAAAAGTTCTTATACACTAAATTCAATCAAACTTTTGGGTTATCAAATAGAAAATCAGACCTTAAAACCTGATCCTGAAAGACTTGAACCATTAAAGAAGTTACCCTTACCAAACGATTCACAATCACTAAAGAGAGCTGTCGGAATGTTTGCACATTATTCCAAATTTATCCCACAATTTTCAGAAAAGATACAAAAACTAGTCACATGCAATACTTTTCCTTTAACAGAACAAGCAGCTGAAGCTTTCCAAATTCTTAAATCTGAAATTATTTCTTCAGCTGTTACTACAATTGATGACAAGATTCCTTTTATCGTTGAATCTGATGCTTCAGATTTTTGTATTGCTGCTTCTCTTAGCCAAGGAGGAAGACCTGTTGCTTTCTTTTCAAGAACCTTATCAAAAAGTGAAAGAAATCATTCATCAGTGGAAAAAGAGGCTTATGCAATAGTGGAAGCTCTTAGAAAATGGAGACATTTCTTGATAGGTAAACATTTTCGACTTATAACTGATCAAAAGTCTGTCTCTTTTATGTTCAATATGCGCCACACTAGTAAGATAAAAAATGAGAAGATTATCAGATGGCGCCTTGAATTATCATGCTACAGTTTCGATATTCAGTACCGACCAGGAGTTGAGAATGTAGTGCCAGATACTTTCTCACGAGTGAGCTGTTCAATAAATCCTCGACCAAGTCTATTTGAACTACATCAATCCTTGTGTCATCCAGGAATCACCAGAATGGTCCATTGGATAAAGACACGCAACTTACCATATACTATTGATGAAGTCCGTGAAATGACCAATCGCTGTCCTATCTGTGCAGAAATAAAACCAAATTTTTTGAAAACTCAAGGGAGATTAATTAAAGCTACTTCGCCTTTTGAAAGATTGTCTCTGGATTTTAAAGGACCGCTTCCATCTAGATCTCATAACAAATATATCCTAACAATTGTTGATGAATATTCTCGATTCCCCTTTGTATATCCATGTCAAGATGTTTCAGCGAAAACTGTTGTGAAGTGTCTTACAAACTTATTCTCTTTATTTGGAATGCCTAGTTATATCCATTCAGACCAAGGGGGGGCATTTATGTCTCAAGAAGTCAAAACATTTCTCCATTCACAAGGAATACCAACAAGCCGAACAACATCTTACAATCCTGAAGGAAATGGCCAGACAGAAAGATATAATGGAATTATATGGAAAACTATTTCTCTTGCATTAAAATCTAAACATTTAAAAACTGAACAGTGGGAAGAAGTAGTTGAGATAGCTCTTCATTCAATTCGTTCTCTTTTGTGTACATCTACAAACAGTACCCCTCATGAGCGAATGTTTCATCATTCCAGAAAAGCTATAAATGGAGCTGCACTTCCTTCATGGTTGATAACCCCCGGAAAAGTATTTATGAAAAAAAATGTGAGGCAGTCCAAATATGAACCCCTCGTTGAAGAAGTACAGCTAATTGAAGCAAATCCAAACTATGCTGTTGTTAGACGTGAAGATGGTAAAGAAACAACAGTAGCCTTAAGACAACTTGCACCACGAGGAGATGCATCTCTGGACTGTGTTAGTGGATCGGAATCTGCGGTTTCTAATGAACAGTTTATCAAAGATCCACCAAGCCCTAGATTGAGTATATGTGAGGAAAATCCAAATATTTCTCCTGTTAACATTCTGGAAGATCAAGGTCATATTGAAAGTGTTTTAGAGGAAGAAAATAAACACAGTCTTATTAGAAGAGGTACCAGGGAAAGAAACACTCCTGCTTACCTTAAAGACTTTGTTCAAAAATAAAGTTGGGGTGAATGTCCTGTGGTCTGTGAACTGTGTTTGTCATTTGTCATCTTAGTTTTAGTTAATGTCATATGTAATTGTCATGTTATTCATTCAAACAAAACAATGCTAATTTCTTGTATATTAAAACCTAGTTTATAAAGGTTTTGCATTTCATTACAAAAAGATTCTACGCTACTTAGGGGTAGATAAGGGGTAAATAATTATAAATAAATATTTAATTTCAGGCATAACAGAAAATTATTATATATTAGTGGAGCAACCTTTAAGCATTTCAATTCCAGGAATGATTTCATCGAAACTTAATGCTGAGCCCCTTGCCAGTTGTTTTAGATGGTTTCATGAGGAATATGTAAGTTTTAGAGTAGTATCTTTACTTATTCAATTCAATAAATAAAATAGTAGGTACCTGTGATATATCTAGGTTATCATAACTTTTAGGTTATCCTAAAAAAGAATTTATAAAAAACATAATTATTGCCATTTTATTTGAATTTATCCTGATACGAAGTCCGATTTTTTAATTATATTTACTCAATTGTCTACGGTGTACAGATTCTTAGTAAATCGATTATTTCTGTTTTACCCCCTTTACCCCTTACGCTGCAGTCTCACCTCATTGCTCCGCCACATCCTCATTGAGTCGATATTGTCGATCGACTCTGTCTATCGACACTCCCGTGCGACTGAGTGTGTACACGGCAATGTGTACGAACGACAAAAGATGTCGTTCGACCTGTCGACTGGTTTTCCATGCTCTGTCGGTAAAATCGAAGGGTAATCGAGTGTGAATCCCAAGTGTGAACGTGCTAGCTAGCATTCGATCTTCGACATTGGTAAAAATAATTCAGTGTACGCGCGGCGTAGTCTCAGTCTCATCCGATGTCTCGTATTTTGAATTTCTCGGCAACTGGAATGAGAAAAAGAAAAAGGGATGGCATTTATTGAAGCGTACAAATTAAAAACAAATCTATGGAACACTATAAACAAATATTATAAAGACCGAAACATGAGGCATGATGCTTTGTGGAAATTGCCAGTGAATTTAATATAGAAATGCAAGTGGTAGAAAAAAAATAAAAAATCTTTAAAGTCAGTTAGCAAGAGAAAAAAACAAAGGATAGCAATAAATCTGACAGTGGCACGGAGGATGTGTACAAAAATAAATGGTTTGTTTATGAAAGTTTAAGATTCTCACGTGACAAGAATGAGACTAGAGAGACATTGGATTCAGAGGTAGGTATAAAATAAATATATACTTATATTCTTTTTTATTAGGCTACATAATATTATTATATTAATATACATTTTATCATTTTAAGTATTGCAAAGGCACTTCTCCTTCTGGTGTCATAAAATAGTCTTTTAACACGGTTCTCACATGTAGCACGAAGTGCAGTTTTTCTGGGTAGTTTTGGTAAGTTTACTAATAGAGGCTGATAACAAACTTCTCTTCTCCAAGCTCCTGGAATCAAGTCTGTGGTATCAGAACAGTCAGCATCGTATGTTCCAGATGGATTGTAAAAATTCTTGGATGTACTTTTTCTAAGAAAATTGTGCAGATAACATGCTGTTAAGATTACTTTAGACGCAGTAGTCGATTCTAATAGCATTGGTTTGCAAAATACACTAAATACGCTAGATATTATGCCAAAAACATTTTCAGATATTCTAAGAGCCCTGCTTACACGATAATTAAAACCACTAGGATTAAACCCTGCATAAGGTTTCATTATGTTTGTAGACAGAGAAAATGCATCATCTGCCACAAAAATGAACGGCCTTTTACATAACTATTTGGAGCAGATTTTCCGCACGCACAGGCATTGTATTCTCTTCAAGAAATTTATGAATACTGTGCTACTAAACACACCACCGTCAGAAATACGCCCTTGGCATCCCACATTGGCATAAATAAAATTATAATTTGCATCGACTACGGCAAATAAAACAATACTGAAGAATCCTTTGTAATTAAAAAATTCACTGCCGCTATTTATTGGGGCTTGCAATACTATGTGTTTCCGTCTATAGCTCTGACACAGTTTGGAAAGTTCCAACGATTGCAATAGCTTTCCATTCTGCCTTTGTTTTAGGCATCTGAAATAAAAAGACTTATTTATTTTTATTATCTAACCTATTTAATTTCAAGTTAATCTAATATAGATACTTTTGATTACACCTTCCAACTAAAGTAGATGCTTTGGAAGATACAGGTGATGTAAACAACATCAAAGAAAATGATGAGAATAGTCAAGATTTTATTCCCACAAATGATGCGACAGAAAACAATCTAGCAGAATGTAATAATGGAAATGCTGGAAGTGTCGAAAAAATTGAACGACCAAAGGAAAACACAAGTGCGAAAAAACAGTTCAAGTCACCAAATATTGACCATGTGCTATCCAAGAAAAGGAAATGTGATGAACCAATGGTTAATGATGCATACAGGATGATGACACAGGTGTTTTCGGAAAGAAATAAAAATGATGTCTTTAGCGTATTTGGAGAAGTTGCTGATACATTACGAATTTTGCCTACCGCTTATGCTCAAGCTATAGTGCAACACATGGTAAGCACGATTCTGGTTGAAGGAAAATTGGGCAAGTACAACTATCCAGTACGACAACAGATACCACCGCAATATTATCCTCAGCCTCAGCGCTAGCAGTATCCTGTTGGTTCAATAACAAGTTAAGTATCACACCCATCCACAGAGCATTCTTCATGTTCTTCTTTTACTAACACCTCAACTCCGACAGAATCAGGTACTGAAGATGATGAAGCCATAGTGGTACGTCACAATAAGCATAGTACCATAGTAGATAGGACAGCATGATTTTTAATTTTGGATTTGATACTTACATTTATTTGAAAACTTAGTTCTATTTCCCAATTAGTTTATTTAATTTTACTGCTGTGGTGCGTTTTTGTTTCGTATTACTTAATAAAATATGATAATATATACCCCTTTCAGTATGAATGTAGTTTTAGTAAAACTCTACTTACCTTTATGTAATCTTGTTCCTTAATGTGTTCATTCATAAATTTAGCTTTGTTTTATGTAATTTGTTACTATTTTTTGTTCTGTTATGATAACATATTAATTAACTTATTAGTTATGATATACGATCTTAATGTTAGATATTAATTATAATCGATAAAATCATCTATATTATAATTGATTAAATGTTTTAGACCAGAATATCCATTATATCAAGATCCACCAACAAAGTATATAAGACCTATTTGGCTAAATCGTTTTTTTATCTGCACATAATTAACCAATATGAGTTTGAAAATCATTTAGTTTTGGACATCTGTATGTATAATGACCCTGCTATGCTGGATTGCATGTACATTGAAACAATGAAGGTTTGTAATATTGCTTTTATTAACATACACAGTTTATCTTTTTAATTTTATATGACTATTTACTGACCGTTTTACGTTATGTCTGTTCTTCTTCTTCTTCATATGACCTGTCCGCTGCAAATGTTGGCAATTATCATGGCAATTCCTCTGATCATCATCTTTAGCAAATAGGGATCGAAAGTAGTCTGCCCATGTTTCCTTCTGCATGTGTTTTATTTTTATTAGTTCGTTCATATCTTTTCTTTGTCCTCTTATCATTCTCCATATTTATTTTTGTGTTCCGTAGAAATCGTGCTCCAACTGTTTTGAGAATCTCTGCCAATGTTGCCTTTTTATTTCTCTAACACTTGTTGTGTTCTGTATTGTTAAAAGGCTTTCTTCTTTTCTTCTAAAATATGGGATTTTCTTTTTTGATATGTTAGTGTTCGTTACTTTCCTCTGTTCAAGTGTATTGCTGCGTTAATTATGTTATTTTTGAGTTTTTCCCAGCTTGCCTCGATGTTATCGTTTTCTAATAATTCATTCCCAGCAATCTTCTCTGATATTCTTTTTTTGTATAAGTACCTATTCCGTAGATTCCGTGTTTAGTTCTTCGACTTTGATTTTCATTTGTATTGGAGCCGCTCTTTTGGGTGTGAAGTATTTCAGGATGATCCTTATTTTACATAATACTAGGCTATGGTCGATATCTCCATCTGCTGAGTTGAGGCATCTTACATCGATTATTTTTAATGGGTGTATATATCTCTTGGTTATAACATAATCTATCATAATGATTCGTATTGCGATGGTATTGCGGATGGATAAAGTAGGGCTTGTATAATATTTTGAAGTGCTCTTGCCATTTTTTATAAAGGTGTATCTTGTGACTAATCGTATCTATAAATTGATCTTTAAATGAATAATTCCTTTCAAATCTTCTTCTTCTTCTTCTACGGCACTACAGCCCAAAATGAGCCTTGGCCTCCTTTATTTTTTGCCTCCACCCTTGTCTGTCTGTGGCTGCTCTTCTCCATACACGGACTCCTAAAAGTGCTTGTGCGTCGCTGCTTACTGTGTCTTCACAGCGCTTTCTTGGCTTTCCAACTGGTCTCTTTCCCTGCATTCTGGCGTTCAGTGCTCGTTTTGGTAGCCTATCCTCTCCCATTCGTATCACATGTCCGGCCCATTGCAATCTTTGTATTCTAATGAAGTTTGACAGGGGTGTTTCCTTATACAGTTGATAAAGCTCGTTGTTATATCGAATTCTGAAGATTCCGTTTTCCCTCACAGGTCCTAGTATTCTCCTCAGTACTTTTCTTTCGAATGTGTCGAGTTTGTTTTTGGATGTTTCTTTCAGGACCCATGCTTCGCTGCCATAACATGCTATTGGCCGAATTAAAGTTTTATATATTCTCATCTTTGTATTTCGGTGGACACTTTTAGACCGAAATATATGGGAGAGGGCGAAATAAGCTTTGTTTGCCTGCGTTATCCTTTTTCGTATTTCTCCATCCTCTGCTCCATCGGCATATATTTCTACTCCCAGGTATGTAAACTTTCCAACCGTTTCAATGTCATCTTCATGTATAATGTTTTGTGGGATTATATTTCTTCTCGTCTGTACCATTATTTTTGTTTTTTCTGTGTTAATTTCCAGACCTAGCCTTTTCGTTTGTGTTTTTAACTCTGCGTATGCTTCCTGTGCTCCTGTTGATGTTCTACTCATAATATTAATATCATCGGCGTAGGCAGCCAGTTGAACCGTTTTATTGGTCAGTAGGTTTTCTCGTCCAGTTTGCATTTGCCTGACCGCATACTCTAGTGCCAGGTTAAACAATGTTGGTGCCAGCCCATCTCCCTGCTTTAGTCCCTGCGAGATTTTGAAAAAGTCTGTCCGGTTGTTTTGTATTCGTACACATGCCTGAGTTTCGTCCATTGTGGCTTTAATGAGTCTAATTAGCTTATGTGGTATTGCTAATTCTGCCAATATATAGTATAGTCTGTCCCTTTTGACTGAATCGTATGCCTGTTTGAAGTCCACAAACACGTTGTGAACATCAATGTCGTGTTCCCACGATTTGCTCAAGACCTGCTTGACTGTAAATATTTGATCCATTGTCGATCTTCCCCGTCTGAAGCCCGTCTGATATTCTCCAATAATATTTTCTGCTAGTGGTTGGAGTCGCTGGTTTATAATATACGTGAGGACTTTATACGCTGTACATAGTAGAGAAATTCCACGGTAGTTTTTGCATTGGAGTTTGTCTCCTTTTTTATAGATTGGGCATACTATACTTTTCTTCCATTCGTCGGGTATTTTCTCTTCTTGCCATATTTCTTTGATAAGCGCGTGGATATGACTTGATAGGTGGTTGCCACCTACCTTATACAGTTCTGTCACCTCGGGGTAAATAGAAAGGGTCTTGCCACCTTCTGTACCACCGTGTGCTCTGTAGAGGGGCTTCGAAAACATCGTGAGCTCCTCTACTTTTGTCCATTTTCAGGGTATGGACTTCAAAATGTTTTGTTTCCTGATGGCTCGTCTTAATAAAGACGAGAGATTTCTTACATGACAAATATCTTACATGATAGTTGTCGAAATAAACATCAGGTTTGTTGTCTTCGATGTCTTGCCTTGAAAAAGGCAAGTTATTTCTTACATGACCAAATATATAGGTCGAAATAAAACACCAAAAATACAGTAGAAATAATACTCAGCCACAGAGTATGGAAAGCTAAAAGGGAAGCAGAGCCCCGAGAGCACTAAGCTCTCGGAGAGCCCGTGAAGGACTGAACTGATTGACCTGAAAATCGCCTAATTTTATACTTTCTGAAGTAGCGATTAGGGATTTCCAGGTCAGGGAGGGGCCAACGGGAAAAATAAGGGGCGGGGCGATGCGTCTCGAACGCGAACTAGTCGCGTCCGAGAACAGTTCTGCTGGAATCTCGTCAACTCCCGGGGCTTTATTGTTTTTCTGGGCCTTAATAGCTTCGAGAACTTCCTCTATGGTTGGAGCTTCTACTTCAACTTCGTTCTCTTCTACATGGTTCGTACTCATTTCATCTTCCATATCTACTTGTGTTTCAAGTAGGGTCTGAAAATAATGCTTCCAGGTTTCTGTGACTTTCTGTTGGTCACTGATTATTTGCCCACTTTCATCTTTGCATAGGCTTGTTTGAGGTTTATATCCACTTTTTATCTTTTTTAGGTATTCGTAAGCTCCTCTAATTTCGTTTTTTTTTGAAATTTTGTTCCATTTCTTCTATTTGTCCATTTTCATAAGCTCTCTTTTTGTTTCTGCATATCTTGTCTGCTTTCCGTCTTGCGACTTCAAATGATGTTCGTCTTTCCCGTGTTCTTCTTGTTATGTACATTTTGTGCGCTTCGTTTCTTTCTTCTATCGCTTGCCTGCACTCGTCATCAAACCATGTTCCTCTTCTCTTCTTTTTCTTGTTTCCCACGGTGGACGCTGCTGCTGTCAGCACTGCTGTTTTGATATTATTCCATTTGCTCTCTATGGAGTGCAGTTCTTGTGTCCTTAGCTCATTTGTGACTTCTTGCTCGAACTTCTCTCTACATTCCTGAGTCTTCAGTTTTTCCAGGTCTAGTTTGTTTGTTCTTTGTTGTCTTTCGTTTCTTTCTCTGTTAACTCTGCACCTAAATTTGGTTTGCAGTAAAAGATGGTCTGATCCACAGCATGCTCCCCGTCGTATTCTCACATCAGAGATACTACTGGCTGCCCTTTTGTCTATCATCACATGGTCAATTTGATTGGTTGTGGTTCCATCTGGTGAGATCCACGTCATTTTGTGTATGTCTTTATGTGGGAAGCATGTGGAGCTTATAACCATGTTTTTACTGGTGGCAAAATTTATCAAAAACTCCCCATTCTCGCTTGTTTCATTGTGCAGTGAGTGTTTTCCTGTTGTGCCATAGAACTGCGGTTCCTTGCCTATTTTGGCATTCATATCACCCATTATAACCTTAATGTCATTTTTTGGCGCGTTGTCATATACTATCTCCAGCTGTTGGTAGAAGCTTTCCTTTGTATGTTGCTCTTGTTCATCTGTTGGGCAGTAGATGTTTATCATAGTAAGGTTGAAGAAGTGGGTGCGAATTCTTAGTTTGCATATCCTTTCATTCACTGCCTGGAAGTCTATGATTTTTGACTTAAAATCATTATCTACCACAAATGCAACTCCACATTCTTTGATTCCTTGTTCTTTGCCACTATATAGAATTGTGTGCGTTTTGGTGTCCCTGACACCTTTCCCCAGCCATCTTGCCTCCTGAAGAGCAGTGATCATAAGATTATATCTTTTTAGTTCTTGTAGAAGTGCAGTTTGAGCTCCTGGTCTATTTAGCGTCCTCACATTCCAACTTCCAAATGCATAGTCCATGTTTCGTAGCTTTAGTCGTTTCCGAAGGTTCCCCTTGTTCCGAGGCAAATGTTTAGGTTTCATAACAGTGTGTTTTTCCGGGAGTGGGTTGTTAGCCCACTGCCCAACCTTCCTCCTTTACCCGGGCTTAGGACCGGCAATGGTGACTCCTGAGCTATTCAATCCACCCATTAGTCACCACAGGCGGAGTTCTTTCAAATCTTATCTATCCCATATTTATTCTGTTAAAAAAACCATATAGTCAGTTGTTTTTTTGCTATTTTTAATAGTCACGTTAATACTATAATTTCATCTATGGCAGCTAGTAGTAATCTCACCTCATACCTCATGTTATTAAAACAATGTATTTCCAGATAGTATAAGTAAAGATTTCTTTTGCAGTACGTTACTGAAGTAGTTAATTTTTAGTAAAATTTTTTTTATGGAGCTTTACAGCAAGAAATACATAACTATTACCATTATATTTTACTACAATTCTTCTAATTAACGTACATATTTGCAGTCAATGCAAACAAACTCAGATTACGCAAAAATGTTCAGGGGCAGACCGGGAAGATTTGTTTTGCCTCTGAACCCTAATTCAAATACAGATAAAAACAATAATTTAATTGGGATAAAAAATACAAGAGCCGAAGCGTATTATATGTCCGATGGAAATATATTTGTTAAGCCAGAAAAACTTTGTAATTTGGGCTGTGAGACTCCCAGAATACATTACGAAAAATATCTTGGTAAGTCCTTTAGTATGACATTAAAACAATTTTAATATAATTATATAAGTATTATTTTTATTCTGTACGTATTTGAAATTTCCTACAAAAATTTAGATTTTATCGGAAAAACTGTTTAGATATAAAATGATGCTTATAAAACTTAAAGATTTGTTTTTTATTGTTACCGTAAACTTAATATTAACAAAGTTATGGCTGTTCGAAAGTAGACTTTTATTCACCAGTACAAACATATGCTGTTGAATAAGCGGAAAATGGTAAGTTTTTCATAGAAAACTTACAAAAGACCTTACAAAAACCTTTAATATGACCACTGGTACAAGTGATTTGCATGAAAATTAAGGTAGGTTATATAACGAAAATAAAGTCGGCTTATATTTTTGTGGCCAAAAAGCAACAAACTCACCCTCGCCAAAACCACCCTGGTTGAATTTCAAAGCTTTAAACGTGTTTTATCAAATAATTACCTCCAAATTCATTCGAAATGCTCGACTTTTTACTAGTAAACGAAATTTCCTAAAATGGTGCATTTTTCGACTTAAATTGTTAATAATTTAAAAAGTCCACCGAACGCACTGCAGGAGACAAAGGTTTTGCTCATTGAGGTCCAAGAAACTCGTGAGATACCTGGCCGGGTAAAAGTCACGTTTCTTCTATCTTTTGCTTCGAAAAATTTGCTTTTGCTTTAATTTATACTTCAAGCAAATACTCCACTTTTATTCATGAGACCCATTATTTCAGAAATTGAAAAGAATATATAACTTGTGCTTCCAACAAGACAGTAACCAAAAAAGTCAGAACAAGAAAGTTGAATGATGAAAAGATACCTAGCTACTAGAAAACCAGGATTATAATATAATATATTTGGACATATTATGTCCAATCTATAAAAAAAGGGGATAAACTGAAATGCGAAAATTATCGCTGCATAATCCTCTTGTGCATAGCGTACAAAGTTTTTACTTGCATACTAAAAAAACGACTCCAACAGCTAACTGAAAATATTGTCGGGGAATACCAAATCGGTTTCAGACAAGGAACTATGATCAGCTATTCACAGTGAAATAAGTTCTAAACGAATCATGGGAATATGTCATTGACGTCCACAACATATTCAAAGATTTCGAACAGGCCTACGATTGAATTAATAGACAAAAGTTATATTAAATTCAAAAATACATCCGACTAGTAAAAGCAACAATGGACTCGTCAACAGCAACTGTCAGACAAAATGAGCTCACTGAGAACTTTTCAATAGTCAAAGGGTTAAAGGAAAGAAATGGTGTGGCGCTGACACTATTCAACCTGACTTTTTTAAAATACTTTTTAACACTATTTAGCCTGACTTACTTGAATATATGATAAGACAGCTGAATATAGGAAGAGGTAATCCCCTAAAAAATAAATCAATACAGATTACCACCTATGCCGATACCATTGGCATTAATTATCGCAGAACAGAAGAGGCCGCAGAAATATATTCACAATTAAAATCAGGGGCAAAAGAGACCGGACTAGAAATAAATATTGAAAAGACAAACAAGCTAACACAGGCAAGGGCTACGGGAAACAGGCGCACAGTTGAATTAGAGGACGATATTGAAACTGAAGGAAGTTTCACATATCTGGGAGTTGCATTAAACACGAATGAAATAGAAGAACCAGAAATTCAAACAAGAATAGTAAAGGGAAACAAAGCTTACTTTTCACTAACCCATGTGTTCCGCAAACCAAACCAAATTCCAGGCAAACGCAGTCCAGGACGAAGAAGAACCTCATGGTTAAAGAACTTGCGAGATTGGTATGGTGTTGATACAATCATGCTATTTAGGGTGGCAGTGAATAAAATTAAGATAGCTATGATGGTAACCAAAGTTCTGAAAGGACGTGGTACATGAAGAAAATATGTGTTCCGCTCCAAAACACATACTGGAGATAGAAAATCAGGGTCTACAAAACTATTATCAGGCCAGTAGTATGTTATGGATGCAAACGATATAAAACGAAAACTGGTTTTCGAAAGAAAAGTCCTAAGAAAGATTTTTGAATCTATTAACGAAAACGGAGTATGGAGATCCAGGTACAACCATGAACTCTACCAACTGTTTGAAGTCACTTGTCTAAAAACAAAACCATGGAAAACGTGGGAGGATAAAGTGGCAGTGGGCGCGCAAAATTTGCTAGACGTGAGAACCTGGAGAAGATCGACGCGGAACCGACAAGGTTGGAAGCATAGTTTGGAAGAGGCCAAGGCTCGATTTGGGCTGTAGTGCAATTGGAGAGAGAGAAGTTTGTTGTTCCGATCCTTTAATTTATTTAGTATGATGATATGTAACAGAACTACAATTCAACTCGACAATTAAAAAACAATCGATCAGGTCCGCATTTAAAAAGAATTTGGTACATATAGTAAAAATTCAAGGGAAATTCAAAATAATATCTTTTAAAGTAAAAAATTGCACGTTTTAAGTAATTGGATCAACTTGCCCCAGATAAATACCAAATTAAAATTAACAGAACAGAAGTGGAAGTTCAAAAGATATATTGCAAGACCAGAGGATAACATATGGAATACGTATGTACCATGTCCTTTCAGAACGTTGGTTACCATCATAGCTATCTTAATTTTATTTACTGCCACCTTAGGCCTAAGGAGACGGCGAAGGCCACAAATAAGGTGGTATGACGACAAAAAAAACGCCGCAAAATGACAGCGTGACTAAATAGGATAATGAAAGCATAAGAAACAAGTGGAGAATTATGAAGGAGGCATAATAACTAAATAACATAATATTGGTATTTATATTAAGAGTATGTACTAATAAACTCTTCATCTTGCCTCACTTCATTGAAATATACCACATATTTATTTTGATTCATATCTATACATTGACACGACGGAAAATAAGATATATTTTATACCGCCACTGTTGACTATTAGCATGGTTATCCTATTGTATATATACCATTTCTTAGAATTTTTTGCCACTCAATCTGAATTTGAGTATAGTACTTATTTTAAAATAACTGCTATATTATCATTTTCAGGCAAACCATATAAATATTTCTATGCAATAAGCTCGGATGTTGACACCGAAATCCCAGGAACGGTAAGAATGTATTTTACTATGTCAACAACAATTTTATTCTTCTAATTTTTAGTTAATCAAAGTCGATGTTGAATCAAAAACTGCTAAAACATGGGGAGAACCGAACTGTTATCCTAGCGAGCCTATATTTGTACCTAGTCCAGAACCAAAGGTAAATTTTGTTCTAAATTTGTAAATTTTCCATTGTTTTGTAAAATATCTAATCTTACAATTTTTATTAAACCTAGAGCTAAGATTATTACTATTACAAGAATTTATATTACGCTTAACGGTTTTCCGGGTTGAACCGCGTCGATTATCATTGCGCGAGCTTTCGACATCCTCTTTGATGTCTTCTTCAGGGTTTCCGAGGCTTCAGTTGCCCGAGCCTTCAAACACTACTACACTGATCACTAACCAATGCATTACTGGTGCAGAGAACAAAGGACATTGCCGCGAACATTTGTCACAGTAGGATTTTGATTGGCGGGTAGAGCGGACGATACTGTCTCTATGAGAGGTCTCCATGTAAAGGTAACCGTAAGTCGTCATCTCTTTTCTTGAGACAATTTGACCTTTTTTCAATTTCTATGGCTTCTCGGATAATTCTTGGTTTATAGAAGCAGATCGGGGCCATAGTTCTGGAGTTTTCAAAATCAATTTTGTAACCTGTATAAAGATGGTGTTAACCTAGAGCTGAAATTGAGACGGAATTGCGAACAGAAACAGAATGTTCATAAATTCTATTTTGAATTCTACGATTTGTTTGGCCTATATAGGATCGGGGGCAGTCTGCACAAGGAATTTCATAAACTCCATGTTGTTCATTTGGAATGGTGTCTTTGATTGATCAGACAAGAGATGAAAGTTTTTGTTGGGGAGTAAATATTGTCTTTATTCCTCTTGATTTTAGAATTTTGTCGATTTTGTCACTGATACATTTGATATAAGGAAGAAAAGCTTTCGTTTGATGAGGGTCTGAGTAATTGGGTTGAAATTGAGGGGGAGATTGATGTCTGTGGATGCTCCTGTTGATGTGATTTTTGCGGTAACCGGTTTGGATGAGGGCATGCTTTAAACTAGAGAGCTCTGCGGGCCTACTTGCATCATCGCAAATGCGTAATGATCTAGAGACAAGTGTATTAATGACTGAATTAATTTGTGAAGGTGGATGATGAGAGTTGGCATGCAAGTAACGATTGGTATGGGTGGGTTTTCGATAAACAGAGTGATGAAAACCTTGCGATTGGCTTTTCTTTACGATAACTTCGAGAAACGGTAGGGGTGTATCAGTTTCCACCTCCATCGTTAACTGGATAATAGGACGTATACCATTCAGATGGGTTTAAAAACACACCAAAGCATCCCTGCCATGGGGCCAAATGACGAATTTATCGTCAACATATGGTACGTATCTAACATGTCGGTTTGAGCATTGAAGTGGATACTGCTCGAGTCTCGAAGTCTTCCATAACGATATTGACAATTACTGGAGCTAGTGGGGAGCCATTGAGGCACCATTTATTTGTCTGTAGAATTGATTTTGGAAAATGAAATAAGTGTTGGGAGGTTTATTGAGAGATAAGTAGCCTTACTAGATACTGTATTTAGTTTTCAGCATATTTAGAGTTTCGTCTATAGGGTTTGTAAACAGTGAAACGATATCGAAACTTACTAGAATATCTGAAGGGTATTGTTTAATTAAGAAGTTCGATAAAATGAAAAGAATTTTTGATAAAGCATGGAGCATTTTCGGCGAGAGGTTGTAGAGTTTTGGCTAGTATTTGGCCAAATCCACTCCATTGTGTCATTGAGCCATCCGTAAAAAATGTTTGTATGAAGGGAACTTTTTAACTATGTTGACTAAATTCATAAGGGTGGATTCATTTTTTGTAATGTTTTCATTCAAAATTAGTATTGGTTGAAGTTTAATCAAATATTTGATCAAACTAGTTTGACCAAACCAAAAAATTGACCGCATGAGTTTGATAAATCCTCTAGAAATAGAGCATCTTCTATTTTTCAAGGTCAGTTCGATCATACATTTAATTTTGATTTGTCGAAAAATATCTAGAGACAAATGACAATCGGCATAACGTGATGAAATTCAATTTTCTTTTTTCGGTTCGGTTGACAGTGTGTGCTTTATTTGTCTTCCGGTTTTGTTAAAAAATAAAAATAAAAGTTTAAAATATCTTGGAACCAGGAACAAATTTCAACATAATTAATTTATATCGAGAAAGAAGCTATTTAGGTATATATCCACATTATTAAAAAAAAATCCTTTCAGCCTTTTTATTTTCATTGTGAATAAGAAAAATCTGAATCGTAAATAAAGCACAAGAAACTGATAAATAAGCAAAAAGACAACTAATTTCGTTAACATACGTCAGTTTAATCAAATATTTATGATCGTGTGATATGTAAATTTTTAAAATTTGAACAAATTGTAATTATGACGTCAGTTTGCTAAAATATTTGACCGTCTGACACGGACTTTATGCCACTAAAAAGCCCAAAAACAAATTCAACTTAGGCAACCAATTTTACCATTGTGTAATATTTTTTTCTCTAGAATCTATACTATAATAGAATAATACTATATATTTAGTATTGAACTGGTAATTACTATTTTTAATATTCTAATAATTTATTAGTTTATTTTTAAATGTAGTATATAAAATTTATTAAAAAATATCGCTAGAGCTTTAATATATAAAAATTCATTTTAATTATCTTTTGTCGTTGCAATTTTTCATTATATACCACTGAACATAAATATGAATTTATGACAGTAATTAGTTTATATTTCCATGGTTTCATAATTCCCTACGTTGATTACTCTGTATTAAGTCCATCGAGCAAAAATTAAGTCACAGAATAATAAACAATCAGAATGCCCACTCTACTTGTCAAGATAAGTACGCGGAGACGAAATAAGCCATGTTTTAAACGGAACCAGTGCTGTTCAGTGAAATTTTATCTGTTGTGCATAGACAAATGAATCCGGTTTAATTTATTTACGGCAACCACAGACATGCACTATTTTTTTCGTACTTTTAGTTGAAGAATAGATTAAATTATTTCAAATTTACGAAAGTATTAATCTCTAAAAATTTAAATTACATTTCTGTCGTAGCTTGTCACAAACTTCTCAATTCGAGTCTATGTTTCCGTTTAAATGGCGATCGCGTGCTGACACACTTCAAAGGCGGCACCTGATCGTGGGCATCCTGATTGTTATTTATTCTGTGATTAGAAGCTTTACTTCGCAGTTTTGGATGCACTAATCTGCGAACGGGCGCACAGATAGTCAGACCGTGCACTATTACTTTTGCCTTGTTTTGTTTATACTAATTTGTATGCTTCACTTTGACCAAGATATTTCTAAGGGTTTTCTTCAATTTTGTGCCTAAAAATTATTGATGCTTCATATCTAAAGCCTTGTTAGGTTTAGTCTAAATTTACAAATTCATTTAATTTATTCATTATTATTGTTGTTGATATTTGCTTTAATGTTTTATAATATTAAAGCAGAATAATTAAACATTTTTTAATTGTAACAGAGTGAAGATGATGGAGTAGTTCTATCTGCTATGGTTTGGGGCGAAGAAGACACCAACCACGTAGGCCTTTTAGTTCTAGATGGCGAATCTTTCACCGAACTAGGGAGAGCCGAATTTAACACTCCAAGTCCTGCACCGAAGTGTCTACATGGTTGGTTCTTACCATCCAAGGAATAATAGTCATTAGTAAATTAAAATAAGCATATTTTATTTATAATCTCAATAAATTAATAAACTGTATAATAAACAATAACACAGTTAATAAAATATTATAAACTACATCTACATACAATGTTTCTTTAATAAATAAAATTTTGAAAAAAAAACTTTTAATCCCAACGAAAAAAATTAAAAAATATACGAGGTATGCCGAAACTAAGAGCGAAAAAGTAGGGAGCGTATAGGATGAGCCTACTTAATGTAAGTACTTCCTATAAACATTATAATACAAGTAATTGTTTCCTCGTTCAAGGTCTCCAAGATGACCATGTTACATTTATGTATTATTTTTAATTTTAGTACTGTTCATTTCTTCTGTACGAAAATTTCAGTATGACTAGAACTATCTGCAGTGTTATTTTAGGAGTGTAAACAGATTTAGAGTCTTTCCTTAAAGGTACCATAATGGTTAAACAGCCAACCTTTTTACATGAACGACAGTCACTTTGTGAAAATATCAAAAATTACTGTCACATATCTTAGCATATTTGTTAAAACCCTTTCTTGACCGGCTAACACGATCGTGAGCTCATGTTTATATGGGTATCAATATTAAAATAAACATATTTTTACTGGGAAAAATGATATTAATTGTGTCTATCATGTATTATCAACGTAACTGATATTATTTAACGAATTGGAGATTAGTTTGCAAGAAAATACCCTATAAGATGACTGTGTATTTTGAGGACGAAACTTGTAAACGTAAGTAAAAGATATTTTGTTTTTTATAAGTATTTATCTTATGGTAAAGGGGTTGTGGTATAAATAAAGTTTTAACTTTAAGATAATAAACAAGATTTAAGAAATTATTGGTTTGTTTGTAGAGATATTGTCCATAATATTTGAATATCACGATAGTGAGTTGTCGTTACACATTCAATTTTCAATAGCAGACAATTAAAAATACTAAATATTTATGGTTTGTTTTTTATTAATTTTTCTCTATTTAGATAATAATAAAAATGAAGTATTTTTTCTAATTACAGGTGTGCTTCTCATCCACGATTTGGCTCTAGAGTTGTTAAATAATAGCAACGAGTCTACAATAGAAGATTTGCATTACGAAAATATTTGAAAATGACACCGATGACATTGAAGAGGATATTGAAGAAACTGTATTGGATGGAACAAGGTGACAATGGAAAGACACGACATTTCAGCAAAAAATACATGATTATATAGAAGGTACACCTAAACCAATCAGAAATGCTATGGAGTAATTTTCCGATTAGCATTAACCCGAAAACATTCGTATTACATAGCACCTGAAGGTAATACGGATGTATTTTGGTAGATACAACCCATCAGGGGTTCAACTGCAGTTGAACGAGCATGTGACAGATTAGAAAGACATCCAGATAATTATTCCATTGACGAACAGATTATTCATTTTCGATGGAAGAGTGGTCAAATGGTTTAAGACAAGTAATTAACACTTTGACTCCTATGTGTATCATACATAATACACAATAGGTACTCTCTCTGAGCCTGTGTGTATGAATTTGATACACAAGAGTAGAACGCATTCAAGCGACTGTGTATGTGATCCGAACGCAGTTGTAGTGTATTTATACGTGTATTATCATTCCTTTAGGCTGTGGTAACCAATTTTCAATGTTAGTTCGGTAATCCTAGCATATTAAAATTGGCAACATTGTAGATAAAATTTGGAGACACGAAATTGTCGAGTTGCAATAGTGGCATACCACCATACCAGTCACTGTTAGACCTTCATTGTAGTCGGGTTTGTTTTTGTACAATGTCTAAAAATAACAAGAGAAACCTTTCTTTACATGAACTTGAGCATCTGGCTGAAAATCTTAGCGAAATAAGTGATTGTGAATTTGATGATTCAGATGTCGATCCATTATACACTGATAGTTCTGATACCCTTGAATACTCTTCAGATTCAGATTATGAACCACAAACAAAACGGCAGAAAATGGAAACACTTAAGGCAAGTTTATAGTTCCGTATAAATTTCCAATGTTATATCTAATTTTGAATTATTTTAGGATGATAATGTTACAAGTCAACCTATAATTCAACATGAACAGTTTAATTTGCAAATAAGCGAAAGTGAATCTGAAATTGAAGATGTAAACAATATAGATGGTAAATCCTCGTATAGGGAATTTACAGGCAAATGTTATATGGAACAATGTTGATGGACATTTGAATACATTTGACGTTATACATGAAAATACTTCTTTTGGTACAGTTGTAGAAAGTAGGGAAAATGATACACCTTTAACGTTTTATAGACTGCTCCTAACAGACGAGATACTCGATATTTTAGTGAAGGAAACAAATCGATATGCTGAACAAAAAATTATTGATGCTATAAATCGTGAAAACGTTAAGACAAATTCATATCTCACTAACTGGAATGATACTAACAGAGAAGAAATATTAAAATTTTTGGGAATTTTAATATGGATGGGTTTGAATACAAAACCACGACTACGAGATTACTGGAGCACTAATTTTATCCATCATTGCTCAATATACAAGACGACAAACATGTCGAGGTGTAGATTTGATGCTCTTCTTGCTTGCTTCCATTTTTCAGATAATGAAGCTTGTCCTGAAGGAAGCAGATTGTTCAAAGTTGAACCATTATTGCAGGCGTTCAATAGAAGTTTTCAATCTGCTTTGGTACCAGGCAAATACGTTTGCATTGATGAATCGATGATTCCCTTTAGAGGACGTCTGTCATTTTTACAGTACCTACCTGGCAAACGTAATAAATATGGCGTAAAAGTTTTCAAACTCTGCGGAAAAGGCGGCTACACATATCACGCAAAAATTTATGGCGGAAAGCAAAATAGACCAAAGGAACAATCACTAGCATCCCTAGTGGTCATGGAATTAATGCAACCTTTTCTACACTCAGGAAGAACTTTGGTTACGGACAATTTTTATACTAGTGTCAGTTTGGGACACGAACTAAATGATAACAATATTCATCTAGTTGGAACACTTCGTAAAAATAGGAAATACAATCCTAAGTCGGTGTTTGAAGCAAAGCTAAATAAAGGAGATATGATGGCCCTACAGAGCAACACAAAAGTTATTGTAGGAAAATGGATCGACAAAAGAGAGGTAACATTTTTGACTACAAAATCTTGTCCAGAAATGGTCGACGTTCGTACAAAATCAGGAATAAAAAGAAAACCGTCTACAATAGTAGAATATAATTCTGTTAAATCTTACATTGACGTCTCTGATCAAAAAGCTTCCTACAGTAATCCCATCAGACGTTCTATAAAATGGTATCGGAAAGTGAGAATAGAGTTACTGACAAATACAGCCATAGTGAATGCTTTAATCCTATATAACAAAGCTTTGAACACAAAAATGGATGTAACACAATTTCGCGAAGAATTAGTGACTGCCATTTGCAAAGACAATAATGTTACAAACCCTCAACAAACACACCATAGGCTGGAAGAATATGACAAAAGAGGGCGATGTGTTATATGTTACAGCACACAGGCAAAATCCTTTGGTCGCGCACATGCATCTAAGAATTCCAAACAGTGCAACACTAGGTGTACTGGCACTGAATGTAGAGAAAAAAAATTTATTTGTAACATTTGTTTTTTTAAAACACATAATGTATATTTAAAATAATTTGTTAAGATGTTTGCTTATGTTTTTTCGCAATAAAGTTTCATAAATAATGTGTATCAATTTCAATACATCTAGGCTATGGGTAATGACACTATGAAAAGTCGTCTACATGAACTGCGTGTATCAAAAATAAACACACCCTACAAAGCCCTTTTTAAATAAAGCATTTTATTAGAGAACATGAAAAAAAAAGTGGCCAGGCTGTGACAACTTATGCAGATAAATAGGCCCAGGAGTTAAAGTGTTAAAAACAAACCGCTACCATGAAGTTTCCGCCGCTGTGGATCTACACTTTTCACAGTCAATTCTTCCAGGAAGCTGTCTCTATTTTGATAGAGATTTTTCATCAATACCCCTCATTGGACGTCTATCTCAAATGAAACTTCATGGAACAGGTACTTTGGTAATGAACAGACTTCCAGAACGGAGAAAGATACCTTTTAAAGAAGATCGTTGTATGAAACGAGTCGAATCACAGCAATTTGTGTGTGGAGACGTAGTTGTTAAATAGAAAAGACAATGCTAATGGTATCGAATTGTACATCAGTAGACAATACAGTCAATGTGAATCGCTGGGATAAAACTTCTAAAGCTATATTCAAGTTTCTTTACAGTCCTTTGTATAGTGAATGATTTTCTTTATAGAACTAAAGCCATCAATGCAAAACCAAAAATCCTTCATCCATAAGTGAAGATACTGAGTCTACGGATATTGATCCAGTTGTAAACCAAAAAAGTATCGACCAGCCAATAATCCAAGTGATGCAAGGAGGTATGATTGTTAAGATCATTTTTCTATTTTTGATGAAAGTCAAGCCCCCAGAACATGCCGATTTGAAAATTGCTCCTAGTAGGTCTAAAGTTTGGTATGAAAAGTACAACGTTTATTTATGTTTGTCACGCAACAAGTTCTGTTTTAGAGATTACCATAAAAAATATTTATTATTTTGAAATTGCTGTTGTACCTCTCAATATTTGTTTGAAATTTACTCCTAGTTTTTGTTTTATTATATAAAACTAATTTTTATTTGTTCCTAATAGTGTTTTACATTTAATAAAAGTGAATTTTTTCATACACTCACGATCCTGCGTTCATAGAACATAAGCCGAGTGCCCACAAACGTGACATGTCATTTGTAAAAAATTCAAACTATGAATTTTTTTCTGCATTTTTTACACCTTTTTTAGATACTGTATATCGTTTTTATTCAAATTGAAACTTAATTTTCACTCAAAACAAGTTCAGGCCTGAAAGGGTTAGGGATAATCCTAATTATCTAAGAGTTATCTAAATAAGTAGAAAAATAATAGCGATAATTAAATAAATAATAGATAAAACTAATTAAATACACATCAGAAACTAACTAAAACTTTTTAAATATTTGTGAATTATTGTCATGGAATAACTATTGGTACTTATCAGT